TCTCACCAGTCTCCGGGTGTGGCTGGGGTCAGATCATTCACTGCAGCCCTCGGTGGGTGTTCACGTGCTGCCTGGGTTAAGAGCCATTTTCCGAGCTAGATTGTTTAGGCCGTGCCCCTCGGCTGGGGAGAGTGGGTTAAAGCAACATTTTGTCTTGTGGATAGAAGGCAAAGGAAAAAGGTCATTTATTGTTAAGCTAGAGACATGGCCGGCCTTGCTCCTTTTCCAAAGTTACCCTTCATTTCTTACGACTGGAGTAGCCCTTTGCTTCTAGTGTATCTGCTCTGGAGCCAGCGCACATTGTAAATGTTTGTTTTGTCCGGGGCAATTCATGCAGAGTTGTAAACAAGCTCTTTTTCAGTCTGGGTGCTGGGAGCACCTGAGGCTCTAATCAGCCCTCTCCTGCAAGAGCCATTGTCCCCTGTGGGGAAGGGAACCATGACTACTTCCAGGATCGCTCGGGAGCCAGCCATTCAGTAGCCTAACAAACCCTCCGATGGAGACGATTCTTTTCCGTGCTACAAGTTGAAGACTCAACTGGCAGATCTGGGATGGGACCCAGAGGTTGCATTTCCCTGTCGACTCTGGTTGGAGGGGCACTTTGAGAGGCCCTGGGAAACACCAGTCCCTGGCTTTCGGCTGGGTGTCAGGCTCCGGAAGTAGGGCGGATCGTTGAGAGGAAAGCCGAAGGAGGCTTCAGCCTTGGCTCTTCCAGAGGACCTAAGTTCGATTCTTGGCAACTACCTGGTGGCTCACTACCATCTTAGAATGAGATCTGGTGCCCTCTTCTGGCCTGCAGGCAGGCAGAACAGTATGCATAATAAATAAATAATTCTTAAAAAAAAAAAGCCAAAAAACCTGTAAGAAGCAGCTGAGGGAATGCCTGGAGCCTGTGGGGAAATGGAAACAGCAGGGCCTGCTGGGGTTGGGGCGCTAGCCACATCCAGACTAGACATGCAGCAGGTGGAAGTCCTGTTGGAGGTTGGGGGATAGTAGTTTGCCCCAGGATGGAGATGAGAAACGAAGAGTAAAACTGGAACCATCAGAAGGACAGCATCAAGAACAGCAGCCAGCCCAACTCGACTCCTGTTTTTAGACAATCCATACCTCGAGTGGGCTTCCGAGCAGAGGGAACCGCATTGTCATGCCTCTGGTCAGGATGTCTGGGCTGGACCCAAAAGAAAAGCGAGGCTTCCTTTACTCTTTTCGACTTAACAGTTGTCCATCTCTCAGAGTCAGGAGGTGGAACCTGTCTGTCTGTGGGAGTGTCTGAGCAGGTGACTTTACCCGCTGAGCCACTGTGCTGGCCCTGGGTAGCTAGGTTATGCTCAGATCTGTAACAACAAGAGCCTTAAAGGGAATGGAAGGTAAGGGGACTCCTGCACCTCTGGCAGAGCTGTAACAGGGTGCGGGGGTTGAGGGGCGGGAGAAGGGTTACCTTCAGAAGCTCTTCTGCTTAGCAGGCCCCTCAGATCCTCCCTGTGGCCTCAGGGAGCCTGCGATAAGGTGCAGTTTCTGTCCAGATGCTGAGGGTTCTTGGTGGGTAGAGGCTGGTGGGGGCAGTTATCTGAAACCACAGAGCAGAAGCCAAACGTTAGCAGAGCCAGGTCACCCTTATCAAAGAGCGCCAGAAACACCCTGGAAGCCAAGGTTAGCAGTGGGGAAACTTAGGGAAGGGTGTGTCTGGGAAAATGGCCAGGACGGGGGGCCAGCAGCAGCCCTTCCCCTTTCTTTCCTTGAAGCAAAGTGTTTGGGAGGGCTGGTTGGAGTTCAAGGGCTCAGTGGCCAACAGGGTTGTGTCTGTAAATTTTTTTTAAAGGTTTTGTTACATCTGAAGGCTTAATAACATTGCTGATAGTGACCTGTGTGTGTACACACACATGCGCACGCATACTTGTGTAGGGCATCATTCCTCGGGTGCTGTCCGTCCTCCTTAGGTGTTGAGACAGGTTTGGTCACTGTGTTGGAACTCATCAAGGGACTGAGTCAGCTGACTAGTGAGCCCTGGGGATGGGTCTGCCTGTGTGCACGTCTCTGGTGCTGGAACTGCACACAAGCTACCAGGTTGTCATAAATGCAAGACATGCACGGACTTCACTGGGTGAGCTGTTTCTCTAGCCCATGTGAATGACTTTTAAAGACTAATTTTTTCTCTCCTTCCTTCCTTCCTTCCTTCCTTCCTTCTTTCCTTTCACAGGGTTTCTCTGTGTAGCCCTGGCTGTCCTGGGACTCGCTTTGTAGACCACGCTGGCCTCAAATTCACAAAACTTCTCTTGCTCTGGCTCCCAAACGCTGGGATTAAAGGCGTGCGTGCGCCACCACCACCTGGCAAGACTAATTCTTAAAGAATGATTTCCATCTGGATGTTCATGTTTGTGAAAGCCCACCAGATTCCATAAAATCATTTTGCATTCTGTTTACCAGGAATAAACAACTGAAAAATAATAGTGGTAATATTTAATATTTAGAAATGAAAGACAATTATTAAAGGAAAAGTTTTAGTTAGAGATAAAAATTGAAATAAGCCCTGGATAAAACAGCTGCTAGTTTCTGCCCAAGACCCAGATATTTTAGTGCAGTTACTACACAGGTAATATGTAGTATCGTTTATAGAGGTAACAGAATTATGTGCTATTTTACAGAAATTGAGACACTCTGAATAACGTGTGTGTACAAAAGTAGTCAAGCTCATTAAAGGTTTTTTAATAGGATTCAACATCATCGTAAATCATTGTGTTAATAGTTTATGTTGTAAAGGACATGTAAATTATCACCATTGGTTCCAAAGCAGAATGGGTTAGTCAAAACACAATAGAGATTCTAAGAGTGAGCCATCTGGTGGGGGTACTGGGAACCAAACTCGGTCCTCTGGCAGGGCAGCGAGGGCTGTTGGCCATCAGTCTGTAAGCCTCTTGGTGATGTTTGTTCCTTGGTGGGCAGTGGCTTCTGAACATGCTGTTTCCTCTTCCTTTGCCAGTTTTTTCTTCTTTCACAGCTGTGTGCAAAAGAAGGATTATAACAGTTAAGGTCAGAGGTTATGTGTGCATGTATCAATTTGTAAATTATGTACCCCTCCTGATTCAGTTGTTTGGTAAATATATCATTATTGTTATCATCATTAGTATTTTATTTATTGGGTTTTTGTTTGTTTGTTTTGGCTTTTTGAGACAGGGCTTCTCTGTGTAATAGCCCTTGCTGTCCTGGAACTCACTCTACTCTGTAGCTCAGGCTGGCCTCGAACTCACAGAGATCCGCCTGCCCCTGCCTCCCAAAATTCTGGGATTAAAGATGTGAGCACCACTGCCTGACTTATTAGGGGTTTTGTGTGTTTGTTTTAGTCAGGGTCTCTCTTTGTGGCCCTGGCTGGTCTGAAACTAGCTATGTAGATAGATCAGGCTAGCTTCAAGCTCTTATGCCTCTCAAGTTCTGGGTTTAAAATCATATACCAGGGGCTGGAGAGATGGCTCAGTGGTTAAGAGCATTGCCTGCTCTTCCAGAGGTCCTGAGTTCAATTCCCAGCAACCACATGGTGGCTCACAAGCATCTGTAATGAGGTCTGGTGCCCTCTTCTGGCCTGCAGACATACACACAGACAGAACATTGTATACATAATAAATAAATAAATATTTAAAAAAATAAATAAAATCATATGCCACCCCCCCCCCTTTTTTAAACTCTGAGGCAGAGGCATGCAAATGACTATGAGTTTGAGACCAGCCTGGTCTGTATTTCAAGTTCCAGGCCAGCTGATGTTATATGGCGAGACCTTGATTTTGCTTTTTTGTTGTTGTTGTTGTTTGTTTTGTTATTTCTTTTGTTTTAAGTATATATTTGTCTGTGTGCCGTCAAACTGAGGCCATCAGGTGCTGGCAAACCTTTATTACCTTTACCCATTGTGCCATCTGGCTGGACCAGTGTACCTTGGAAAATTGTATTTTTTTTCTGCAGGATTGATTATATTAATTACTGAAGGATACATTATTGATTTTTGCTAAGTGAAACGGAGTCTTTTTTTTTTTAAATCTACCTTACACATGCTAAACAGGTGCTCTTCCACTGAAATCCACTCTTTTAAATTTTTTCTGTGTTGTTTGTTTTTCAAGACAGGGTTTTTTGCCGGGCGGTGGTGGCGCACTCCTTTATTCCCAGCACTTGGGAGGCAGAGACAGGTGGAGCTCTGTGAGTTCGAGACCAGCCTGATCTACAGAGCTAGTTCCAGGACAGGCTCCAAAACCACAGAGAAACCCTGTCTCGAAAAACCAAAAAAAAAAGAAAGAAAGAAAAAGACAGGGTTTTTCTGTGTAACAACCCTGACTGTCCTGGCATTTGCTCTGTTGACCTGGCTGGCCTTGAACTGGCAGAGATCCACCTGCCTCTGCTCCCAAGTGCTAGGATTAAAGGTGCACGCCACTACCACCTGGCAGCAATGAATTTCATTATGGCATTTTTATATATCCATGCTGTCATGCTTCCGTCTTTCTTGCTTGTTCCCCTCTCCCAATGCCCTTGCCTGCCCCCACCCTCATCATCTTGGTAATCCCTTCTTCCCCTTTGGAACTTTGGAACTCAAGATGCCTTCCTCCCTCTCCCAGGCCGCCATCCATCGCGTGTGTCTATGGCTCTTTTCCTTCCATTTCTTCTCCATCCGTCGCGTGTGTCTGTGGTGTGGCTGCCTTCCCTTCCATTTCTTCTGTGAAGCACAGACGCTGATAGTTGTCCCCCTTTCTTCTGTAGAGTACAGATGCTGACAGTTGTCCCCCTTTCTTCTGTAGAGTACAGATGCTGACAGTTGTCCCCCTTTCTTCTGTAGAGTACAGACACTGACAGTTGTCCCCCTTTCTTCTGTAGGGTACAGATGCTGACAGTTGTCCCCCTTTCTTCTGTAGAGTACAGACACTGACAGTTGTCCCCCTTTCTTCTGTAGAGTACAGACGCTGACAGTTGTCCCCCTTTCTTCTGTGAAGCACAGACACTGACAGTTGTCCCCCTTTCTTTTCCAGGAACCTTTGCAAATACTCTCACGAAGTTCTCTCGGAACAGAACTTCCAGGTCCTGAAGAACCATGAACTTTCTGGGCTTAACCAGGAGGAGCTGGCAGTACTCCTGGTCCAGAGCGACCCTTTTTTCATGCCTGAGGTAGGTCCTGATTCTCATGTTAAGTAGCAGGCAAGAGTACTATGAGCAAGCCAGCCATGGTGATGCACACCTTTAATCCCAGCAGCCTTGTGAGGCAGAGGCAGGCAGATCTATATGCCTTTGACTAGCTTTGTCTCTGTAAGTGAGTTCCAGTCCAGTCAAGGCTTTCTGCTGAGACCCTGTCTCAACAAATTTGGGTCTGGATGCCTCCTCCCCTAAGGTGCCAGGGGTTCCACTGTGATCAGGATGGGTTGAGGACAGTCATAGTGGGATTGGTTGATGCTTTACATCAGGGTGGCCTTTGGATTGAAGTTGAAAAGATAGAGGTACTTGTTGTATTGTTATACAAGAGACTTATACCTTAAACTCAGTGATTAAGAAAACATACTTTAGGGGGCTAGAGAGATGACTCAGCAGTTAAGAGCACTTTCAGAGGACCTGGGTTCAATTCCCAGCACCTGCATGACAGTTCACAACTATGTAAATCCCGTTCCAGGGGATCTGACACCTTCCTGCCAATACACATAAAAATAAAGTTAAGTAAATCATTTAAAAAAAATTCTTTAAAAATGAAGAAAACCTATTTTAAGTTTTTTACCCCCTTGATAAAAAGGGGTAAAAAAAACCTCTTCGAGGGTCAGCAGGTTACAGCCCAGAGGCCAAACCCTGGGCTGCCACCAGTGCACAAGAAGTCTCCTGGAGCACAGCCGTGCTGACATGTTTACAGGTGGGCTGTTTGCTGCTCCCCCTCTCCAGGGGTCACAGAGAAGTGGAACAGAGACTGAGTGGCCAGAGGAGATTGAGGTGCTTTCTGTCTGGACTGTTGCAGAACTGTGCCGCCTCTGGGTCTTGCCCAGATCCGGGCAGGGATATAAGTGGGGCAGAGGGTTCCACACTGTCTTCTAGGGATTCACGCTAGGAGGTTGGCTCTGTTGTCATCAGGATGTGGCATTCCACCAGTCAGTGCGACCGTAGATGGGAAGCCGAAGGCAGCGGTTTACTCTTGAAGAAACTGGACGTAATGGGTAGCACATCTGCTCACATCTCAATGACCAGTGCTTATTATGTGGTCATTTTAGCTGAAAGGGAGGCCGAGAAATTTAGCTTTTGACTGAATGACCGACTACCAAGTGCTTCTATGACTGGAGGAAAGATGGAGACAGTGTAGATATTCGCGTCTCATCTGCATAGGCCTATAGACCATCCCTAGATGTTGCTCAAGGTCCTGAGAATAACCCTCGTGAGAATCATTCCGTGTGTTCACAATACAAAGTCGGTGCCAGCCTGGCACAGAGAGGAAGGCAAAGAAACACAAGAAGAAGGGTAGGAGGGCTGCAGAAGCTGCACAGAAGGTTGAAAACCAGATTTTCCTGCTAGATTAGACAAGAGAGCCAGTGGAGAGTCCTCAAGGATTCGACCATTTGGGGAACAAAATCAACAGGTGATTTTATTTTTTTTTTTGAGGTGGCTGCTGAGCTTCAGCAGCTATGAAGATCGGGCATTGTGCGAGAGCGCTGCACTGAAAAGAAAGATCTGTAAGGGAAAACAGTGATGAATTTGATAATTCTTTGGGGAGGACCTACTTTTCCCTGCCACAGCTCTAGAGTTCTTTGTAGCGCTATGCCTGCTCTACGCGCCAGGCGCTACGCGGTTCATGTGAGTTGGTTGGGCAAGGGGCTGGAGATTGAAACAGACACACAGAGACACGGGTCTCCTTCTACACCCTTACTCTCAGCTAGCTGCAAGCCCCCCCCCCCCCCCCCAGAAACCACTCCCCTGCCATCAGGAACTCCTAAGGGTCTCGTGCTCACAGCAGCTGCAGGACAGATTGTTTGCTCAGAGCAGCTGCAAGCATAGGAAAACAAGGTGTTCACTCCGGCAGGCGGAGGGGGGGGGGTCACAGGAAATTCAGGGTCTGGGGGTCCACAGTTCCCAACAGTTCTTTAAGTACTTAGGATGCTTTCCCCCGTGTCTGCCTATTTTCTCCCTCCCCTCTCCTTTCCCCTCTTCCCTAGATAATCCCAGTCCCTTTAGCGACATTCACCACCGCCTTTCACCACCACGGTGACCTTGGACAGAGTTCCAGACCCTTCTGGCATCATCGCCTCTATGATTTAAGATTTAGAAGTGCCGGGCAGATTTCTGTGAGTTCCAGCCTGGTCTTCAAAGTGAGTTCCGGGTTAGCCAGTGATATGGGATTCCCCTCTGTATGCTGCGAACGCTGTTGGTTAATAAAGAAGCTGCTTTGCAGCCCAGATGGGAATTCCAAGCAGATGGAGGAGAAAGCAGGCGGATTCAGGGAGACTCCATGTAGCTACTGCAGGAGATAGACGCGGAACCGCGTGACGATACACAGATTGATAGAAATGGGTTAATTTAAGATGTAAAAGCTAGCTAGGCATATGCTAGAGTCGTTGGCCAAACAGTGTTGCAATTAATAAAGTTTTAGTGTGATTATTTCAGATCTGGGCAGCCGGGAAACGAACAAGCAGCCTCTGTCTACAAACTAGGGCTACATAGAGAAACCTTGTCTCAAAAAACAAAAATAAAAACAAAAACCAGCATGTATCAGGTACTCTGTTAAATACTGAATCAAGTAGTGGACAAGACACACTTCCCTATCCTAAAAATTAGTTGTTGAACAGTAAGGTGGTTCTATGGATAAAGGAACTTGTCTCCAAGCCTGATGATCTGGGTTCAGTCCCTGGCCCCCACATGATGGGAAGAGAGTACTGCCTGCCCCAAGTTGTCCTCTTTGTACCCCAAAATGTCCTGAAACTCATTCAGCTGTCTAGCCTAGGCTAGTCTTGAACTCCTGGCTCTCACGGCTTAGCTGCTATGTGCTTGGGTTATAGGCAGTGTACTATGCACCCCTGCTCTTGAATATGTAATTTTTTGAGACAGGGTCTTAGTTCTCACTTGAGTAGCTTGAACTCCCAGAGATCTACCTGTCTCTGCCTCTCTAGTGCTGGGATTAAGGTGTACACTTCACCTGGCCATTGTTTTGTTTTTTTAGAGACAAGATCACTGCACGTAGCCCAGGCTGACCTCAAACCAACCTTATCTCTCCACTTCTTTTTTTTTTTTTAAATATTTATTTATTTACTTATTATGTATACAATATTCTGTCTGCAGACCAGAAGAGGGCACCAGACCTCATTACAGATGGTTGTGAGCCACCATATGGTTGCCGGGAATTGAACTCAGGACCTTTGGAAGAGCAGGCAATGCCCTTAACCCCTGAGCCATCTCTCCAGCCCATCTCTCCACTTCTTGAGGGTTCATATTATAGATGTGCTTAGTGTACCTGCTACCGGGGTTTGAACCCAGGGCCATGTGTTTAGCAGGCAAGCGCCCGACCAGCTGAGCTACAGCCCAGCTCCTAGGCTAGCATTTCTAATGTGTGTCCAGGTGCTTATGGTCCAGACAGCACACTTGGAGAGCTATGGTCCAGACGCAGAGTCTGTAGTTGTCACGTGCACTCATCTGGTGTTAGAGGCTACCCATGTGGCTCTCTTGCTGTTCCTGGAGTCAGACTCCTCCCAGCAAGCCGGACAGAGCCAGTTTAAACAGCCTCTTAGACCAAATATTTTCAACTTCCAAATGCCTGCGAGTTCAGGTTTGTCACGAATCATCCTGGGCTCCTCATCCAATGGTTCGAATACTCGCCTCAACAAGACAGCCTTGTATTTTGTTACTTACTCTGCTTCACAAACAAACAGAAACTAGAGGGTTGCTGGGTCCCTGAGGTCACTCTGCTGTGAGGTCATCCGGCTTCTTCGAGGGCCACCCCTCAGCCCTGCAGCCATTGGCCTGGTTTCATTGCAGCATCTCCGTCTTTCGCAGCAACTCCATCCCATAGAGCTGTGTGCACAAATGCATAGAGAGCGGTGGTTCTCAGCCTTCTAACGCTGCGACCCTTTAATACAGTTCCTCATGTCGAGGTGACCCCTAACCATAAAATTATTTCATTGCTACTACAGAAATGTAATTTTGCTGCTGTTATGAATGGGGAAAAGGGTGTGTGCACCTTAATTCCCAGTACCTGGCAGGCAGAGGCAGGTGAAACCTCTTAAGAGTTTGAGGCCAGCCTGGTGTACTCAGAAAGTTCCAGGCCAACTAGGGCTACATAGTGAGGCCCAGCCTCCATCTCCTCTGTCTGCCTATCTTCTTCCTCCTCCTCCTGCTGTCTCTACACCCATTCCCTCAGATATTTGAAAAGATCTTCCTCTGGCTATCAGAGACCAAATGACAGAATTCCAAAGCTGCAGGTAAGACACATGTCTTTCAACCATAGAAGTCAGAATCTAAACTAGACTTCCTCCTTTGGAAGGACATCCTTTATGATGTCCTGTGCGTAGCTTGCCATTTGAGTTTGATTCCTCCAAGAATTATCAAATTCAGCACTATTTTTTTTCTTTCTTTTTTTGGGGGTGGTGGTGGTTTGTTTTGTTTTTTTTTTTTCTCGAGACAAGGTTTCTGTGTTGCTTTGGAGCCTGTCCTAGAACTAGCTCTTGTAAGCCAGGCTGGCCTTGAACTCACAGAGATCTGCCTGCCTCTGCCTCCTGAGTGCTGGGATTAAAGGCATTCGCCACCACCGCCCGGTTTGCACTGAGCCTGGTACTCCTCCTTGCCCCAGCCTCCTGAGAGCTGGGCTACAGGCATGTACCACCATGCACGCTGTCATCTGTTAGCTAGCTTGCGGATCTCTCCTGTCCCCAATATGTCACCAGTTGAACCCATCTCATCAAAGAGATAGGCTGTGTGGCCATTGTTTTTCTGCTTTTTACCGAAAGGGGGCTTGTGCGTTTAAACATGTGTGGCAGATGTGAGGTGTTCTTGCTCATTGTTCTTCTCCCCATGTAGATATGCAAAAGCTACAAAGGAGAGGGCCGGAAACAGATCTGCGGGCAGCCGCAACCGTGTGAGAGACTCCACATCTGCGAGCACTTCACCCGGGGCAACTGTGGTTATCTCAACTGCCTCAGGTCTCATAACCTGATGGACAGGAAGGTGTTGGCCATCATGAAGGAGCACGGGCTGAGTTCTGATGTGGTCCAGAACATCCAGGACATCTGCAACAACAAGCACTCTCGGAGGAACCCCCCTGCCATGAGAGGTGTGTCCTTTGCCTTTTTCAATTGTGCGAACTTTCAAATACACAGAACTTACAAGGAAAGAAATCTACCTGTAAAATCTCAGCTTCACTGCACAAAAACCTCCTTCTTTTCCCTTCCACATCTTTCCCATATGCATGCACCACTTTAATACAATTGATAATGATTTACACGCAGCTATTACAGCTCCTGATTTTAAATCAGTTATTATTGTCAGGCGCGCGTGTGTGTCTGTGTTTTGTTTGTGTTTATGTGTGTGTGCACTCCCACACACTTACATGTCCTTTAATGCCAGCACTTGGGAGGCAGGGGCAGGCAGATCTTTGATTTTGAGGCCGGCCTGGTCTACCTAGAGTCCCAGGACAGTCAGGACTACATAGAGAGATCTTGTTTCAAAGCCAAATAGTTTAACAAAATGTTTATTTTATTTATTTTCGAGACAGGGTTTCTCTGTAGCTTTGGAGCCTGTCCTGGAACTAGCTCTTGTAGACCAGGCTGGCCTTGAACTCTTGAGATCCACCTGCTTCTGCCTCCCGAGTGCTGGGATTAAAGGCGAGTGCCACCACCGCCTGGCTCAAAATGTTTATTTTTTTTCCTTGAAGCTTTTTTTTATATAGTGAGAATGAAACAGTTTTGAGATTCAGCAGCTATTAACTTTGTTTCAGTTGTTTAGCCTCTTTCTCTGTGTGTGCATACAAACATGCACACATACAATTTTTAATTGCAATTGTTTACTTATTTCATGCTGAAGTCAGAGAGTAAATTTCAGGAGTCAGTTTTTCTTCTGTTTTGTGGGTCCTGGGGAATCAGCTCAGGTTGGTGAGGGAACCATCTTGCCAGCCACACATACTTTTATTTGTTTGTTTTGTTTTGTTTTTGAGACAGGGTTTCTCTGTGTCACCCTGGCTGTTGTAGAACTTACTCTGTAGACCAGGCTGGCCTGGAACTAGGAGATCCTCCTGCCTCTGCCTCCCACATGCTGAGATAAAGGTGTGCACCACCACACCTAGCTTCAGCCTGCTTTCTTCTAGAACCCAGAACCATCCGCCCAGGGATGGCACCACCCACAACAGGCTGGGCTCTCCCTCATCAATCATTAAGTAAGAAAATGCCCTGCAGCTAGATCTTCTCAGTTGAGTTTCCCTCCTCTCCGAAAACTCGAGCTGTGTGAGGTTGACAGAACACTAGCCATCACGACTGTATTGGGTGTGTATAGCTGCATGTGTGAAGCTGTGTGAGGTTGACAGAACACTAGCCATCACGACTGTATTGGGTGTGTATAGCTGCATGTGTGAAGCTGTGTGAGGTTGACAGAACACTAGCCATCACGACTGTATTATTTGGGTGTGTATAGCTACATGTGTGAGGGTCAGTGGACAACTTAACAGGAGTTCTGGAGAGAACTCGGATTAAACCTAGGTTATTCAGGCTTTGTGGCAGGTTACCAAACGAGCCCTCTCACTCCTTATCTTTGTAAAATAGATACAGGAGGAGGTGACGTCTATGAAGCAGATAGAATACCTGACTGACTCCAAGATGCTACATTGACGTGGTGAAAAGCTGCAGCTCCTTGTGTTTTGGCAATGGTTTATGTTACAGGAGACTTTCCCCCAGAATACTTCATCGTTATTCCTCACAGCAAAACTATGAACAATGGCAGGTTTATTATTTATTAACCTCACTTAAACATAAAGAAGCAGATGCTTAGAAATGGTTAAGCAGGGGCTGAAGAGATGGCTAAGTGGTTATAAGAGCACTGACTGCTCTTCTAGAGGACTCGGGTTCAGTTCCTGCACGCACTTGGCAGCTCACAACTGTCTGTAATTCTAAGATCTGGAATATATGCGAGCAAAACACCAATGCACATACATTCTTTTTTTAAAAAAAGAAAAAAATTGTTAGGCAGCTGGACTTGGTGTATGTCTTTAATCCCAGCACTGTGAAAACAGAGGCAGGTGAATCTCTGTAAGCTTGATGCCAGCCTGGTCTACAGAGTAAGTTCCAGGATAGGATATCCAGGGCTCGATTACACAGAGAAACTCTGCGTCAAAAAGCCAAAACCGAAAAAAGAGAAAGAAGTGTTAAGAAACTTTTATTGCAAGGAACTTTAAGTCATGCTTAGACACCAGACAGCACTGTGGAGATGAAATCCAGAGCAGTGTTTCCGAGCTGAGCATAGCATGCTCGCTCTGACTCCACACACACACTTGTCTTCTGCACTCCAGGGCTCTGAGCAGCGGGTGTCTGCAGAGGCGGGTTTTGGTGTGTTCCATGTGGGTTCACTGTGGGGGGAGAGATTGGTATTTACTGCCACTTCTAGTTCTCCTGTGGAGTTGGCCATCATGAGAGGAGGAGGTTTGCTTTAGCTACGTAACTGTTGTCCCCTTTCCTCTATCAGGACAGTACACACATGCTCCTCAGAAGCACACACACCCCTACCTTTCAAATCCCTTTCCACAGCAGACATCATGGATGTACAACACACACCCAGACTTCACACTCTGGATCATTCCTTCTGTAGACTGCTTCCAGGAGATGTGCGCTATCACTTTTCTGGAAAGAACACACGGCTCCATCAATTTGACTTTTATAGTGGTATTTTATTCTGCCTATGCTATAACAAATAAAGCTTGCCTGAAGATCAGAGTGTAGAACTAAGCCAGTAGTTAACCACAGAGGCCAGGCACACACCTTTAATCCCAGAACTCAGGAGACAGAGGCAGATGGAGCTCTGTGAGTTCAAGGCGACCCTGGGCTACACTAAATTAATCCAGTCTAAAAGAGAAACAGAGCCAAATCCCAGTACTTGGGAGGTAGAGACAGGAAGGAATATATATCGCTGGGCGGAAAGAGGAGTATAAGGCGGGAGGAGACAGGAGCTCAATGCAGTCTGAGGATACAGTCTGAGGACAGGATTGTCCCTTTTGGTCTGAGCATTGCTAGAGGTAAGAACTCTAGAGGCTGCCGCTCTGCCTCTCTGATCCTTCAGCTTTCACCCCTGATAGCTGACTCCAAGTAGACCAATTAGAATTCATGCTACAACTAGTTTAGGGAAACCTAGAGAAAGAAGCCTGTAGCTTAGATGAAACGTAACTTGAGTCTGTGGTTCCTTTTCTGTTTGGTTTCAGTGTTAGGAGCGCTCATTCAGGTATTCACATAAGTGGAATCTCTGTGCCTTATAGAAATTCTTCTCTTAATTTGCTCCAGTCCGGCTTTCATTCACTGTTGTAATGAAGTTTAACTGAGGACTAGGGTCTGGAGACAGGCTCTTGGGTACTGGGAGACTCATTGAGTCCCAAGAGAGACCGGAAGAGTGTGGGGTCTTCCTCTTAGCCACAGACACCTGTTCTACCATGGTTCCAGCTCCTGGGTTTGTAGCCTCCAGTTAGGAAACTCAGCTCACGAGTCTGGATGAGCAAAAAGAATATCGTGGTAGGACCTGAGCTTCAACTTCTCTTTGGGTTCTTTCTCTTTCCAGCTCCGCATTCCCATCGCAGAGGCGGGGCCAGAGGCAGAAGCAAAAGCAGAGACCGGTTCTTTCACAACAGTCTAGAACTTGTCCCACCTGTCTCGCCTCTGGAGTCTGGTCCACCTAGCCCAGATGTCAGCAGCTGTAAGGACTCCCTGGAGGATGTGTCTGCAGATGTCACGCAGAAGTTCAAGTTCCTGGGAACTCACGACTGTGCACAGCTTTCGGCCGCTTCATCCAAGACTCCCGGTCTCAGAGGAGCCGGTCAAATGGGAGCAAGCCTGAAGTTTTCAGAGAATGGGGACCCGAATGGCTTCTTTTCTAGGAATCATGCAGATTCATCCCCAAGTCAAGCAGCCGGCGGCTTCCGGCTTGATGTGACACAAACACATGAAGCCATAGCCGTGAAATCGAGCAAGCCTTCTGGACCCCATATGGATGTCAAGGGCAAGAGTGAGGCCCAAGACAAACAGAAGGTCCCTTTCTTGGGTAGTTATGCTGGCGGAGCGGCTGTGGAAGGAATTCTAGGTGACAGGGGCACAGTCAATGGTCTGGGAGAAGTAACATTACCTAGCAACCATCAGAAGAGTACAGCCAACCCTCAGGATCCCCGCACCACTGGCAGAATCACCAACAGTGGTCAAGATATGGCATTCCTGGGTGGCAAATATGGAGGAAACACACCCTGGCCCATTAAATCGACCCATAATGTACCAAATGGCTCTAGTCAAATTCTGAGTGAAACTCCTAAGAGCTCTGAAAGCAGCGCCACAGACTTTGGGGTAAAAGCAGCAGTCACAGGAAGAAAAGAAGCCATGTGCTCTGGAGTACAGAGTCTGAGAAACCAGATCCCGGCTATGCCTGAGGAGATCACTGCCCCTGCACAGGCCAGCAGGCTGCCTCTGTCACCCGCGCTTTCCTCAAGCCACAGAGTTGAGGTCCCTGGTAAGAACTCATGTGTAGTGAGGAGCAGCGGGCTATATCCCACCACCCGGCTAGCTTTATACCCGAAATAACAACACACAAATTGTATTCTTTTAAACACTGCCTGGCCCATTAGCTCTAGCCTCTTACTGGCTAACTCTCACATCTTGATTAACCCATTTCTAATAATCTGTGTAGCACCACGAGGTGGTGGCTTACCGGGAAGGATCTTAACCTGAGTCCATCTTGGAGAGGAGAGCTATAGCGTCTGCCTCTTCCCAGCATTCTGTTCTGTCTATTCCGCCTATCTAAGCTGCTGTCCTATCAAAAACCAAGGCAGTTTCTTTATTAACCAATGAAAGTAACACATAGACAAATGACCCTCCTCTGTGAGCCCAGTCAGTGAGCCCTCAAGGATGACCTCAGACTCCTGATTGTAAGTAACAGAGGGAAGAGACTCCTATGGCTTGAGGGACAAGGGAAGGACAAACACAATACCATGGTATTGAGTCTCCAGCCTCAGAATTGCAGTCACTTCCTAGCCAGGAGTCCCTAGGGCCCTAGTGCCTACGTGTTATTCTACAGAGCGGCTAGGCAGACTCTTAGGGGCAGCCCGAGAATCCAGGGTGGATGTGAATATGGACCCCATTTCTGATGTCTTTCTCACAGAGAGGCCAGATATCCTCATTTTTGGGATCCACGCTTCCTCTTTTGTTTTGCAGATGACCTATCCTTCATCACAAGTGCTGCATCGCCTACTGATGATCGTGGCCCAAAGGAAATCTGTCAGGACCATCTGTATAAGGGCTGCCAGCAGAGTAAGTTGCGTTTCCTGAAAGATCCTTTAGTCCTGCTGGGAGTGTGGCACACACCAGGACTTGCCCAAGCCGGGACCAGCTTGAGTGAGGGGACGATGGGGGAAATGCCTGGCTGGGAGGACAGGAAGTCAGCAGTCAACTTGAAGTTGAACAGTGAAGTTGAATTGGTTAGAAACCCCAACCCTTCACTGTAAACCCTTCACTGTAAACCCTTCACTGTAAACCCTTTCTCTGTCACCGTAGGCAACTTGAAGTTGAACAGTGAAGTTGAATTGGTTAGAAACCCCAACCCTTCACTGTAAACCCTTCACTGTAAACCCTTTCTCTGTCACCGTAGGCAACTGCAACAAGAGCCACTTCCATCTGCCCTACCGGTGGCAGGTATTTGTAGATAATACTTGGATTGACTTCCGGGCCATGGAGGACATCGAGAAGGCCTATTGTGATCCCCAAAATGAAGTGTAAGTTGGTGGTTGTCCGCTGGCTAATGGGTTCTACAACTCGGACTGAGGGAAGGTTCAAGCTCAAGCTGCCTAATGCTGGGGACTCCAGGAATAGTTAGTAACACGAGTGACATCAACAGTGACATGATTGTTTGATCTGTAGGTGTGTCCTGTACAGAGGTCAGTCATTTTTCTTCTCCTTTTTCTTTTTTTCCCCCCGAGACAGGGTTTCTCTCTGTGTACTAGCTCTGGTTGTCCTGGAATTTGCTTTGTAGACCAGGCTGACTTTGGACTCACAGAGATCTGCCTCTGCCTTCTGAGTGCTGGGATTAAAGGCATGCATCACCACCGCTCAGCTCATGGAAGCTCTTATAAAGGAAAAAAAACATTTATTAAAAAAAGGCCAGGTGGTGGTGGTGCACATACGTTCCCCACGTGTGATTTGAATAATTCCACGTGTTCTAGCACAGACGTTTGTTGTGTAGCTATGTTTTTGTGTGCCATCTCTGTGTTCTAGAGACTTACAGGAGGGTTGCTTATATTACTGCATTTGCTAGGATTGGCAGGGGGATGGGGTGATAGCCACATAACCACATTTACTTTTGATGTGCAGAAGGGAAGGGTACTTCACATTCAGTATGGAATCTAGAAGCTTTGGGTAGTTGTCCCGTGTCTCCGCATTCTGCCACTAGAGGGCAGAACTCGCTGTTCTCATATGTAGATGAGACATTTCTTTCTCCCCTGCCCCAGGAAAGACATTTTCCCCCCTCTATGTAAACCCAGTTTCTCAATCTTGAAACTATTGATGTTTATAAATAGAGTTGTTGAGGGTAGTGTTAGCAGTGTTCGTGGTCTTGTTTTCCCTGCTTCCCTTGGCCCGTGGTGACCACACATGACATTCACCTTTACCTACGGTTCCCCTGATCTTTCCTGATCGAGGACCTGAGAGCTCTTTGACGAACGGCAATTCTCAAGCTTCCATCTCAGCAGCACTAGCACTCCTGAAATAGATCGAGGATCTGTGTATGTGAGTTACAGCTATCAGTACATCGTATTAAAAATAATACCCGGGGCTGGAAGATGGGTAAAAGTGCTTGCCATGTCATTGTGATGAACTAAGTCCAACCCCCAGGATTCACTGTGAAAGGAGAGAACTACTAAGTGTAGTCCTGACCTCCATGCATGTGTCGTGCACACACCATACACACACATTATATACAATCACGTCCTGTACGTACACACATGCACGTAATATGCACATACACATACTCACATGATAGGTATATTCACAGTATACCCACAAAACATCACACATACACGCTAATAAAAATGAAATGTTTTGAAGTTGTGTATTAACGTAGCCTTCAGAAATCTGTCTTTTCACCCCCGAGAAAGCTATCTTATACATAGAAAAATAGAAAAGCAAAAAAAGCCAGATAGTATATCCTTTCTTTCTTGTGTCGGTTTTGTTTTGTTTGTTTTGGTGGTGGTGATATTGCTTTTTTGGAGACAGGGTTTCTCCTCTATGTAGCTCTGAATGATCTGGAACTTTCTCTGTAGACCAGGCTGGCCTCAAACTCAAGAGATCTGTCTGCCTCCCAAGTGCTAAGATTAAAGGCAAGCCACTAAGCCTGTTTTTTTTTCTTTTTAAAGATGTTTTAACATTACTATGATAACTTTGACCTTGTCAATCCTCTTATGATTTCCATATTATTCAAACTATTTGTACTGCAATAAATCTGTTGTTTTTTTTTTTTTTTTTTTTTTCGAGACAGGGTTTCTCCGTAGCTTTTTGGTTCCTGTCCTGGAGCTAGCTTTTGTAGACCAGGCTGGCCTAGAACTCACAGAGATCCGCCTGCCTCTGCCTCCCGAGTGCTTGGATTAAAGGCGTGCGCCACCACTGCCCGGCCAATAAATCTGTTTTTGTTTTTAATTTAAAAAATGAGTTTTAATTAAAGAATTGAGTTCCAAGCTAGGTGGTGGTGAATTCCAGCAGGACAACATAGAGAAACCTTGCCTCGAAAACCAAAATAAATAAATAAAATTCCTATCTCTTAGCCTAGTGTTTGTTTTATGGACAATTCTGTTCTCTCATGGGGAGAATCGCTTTACATTTTCCCTTTATATAATTTTTTTTCCATTTTATGTGTTTTTGCCTGGAGTGTGGATTCCCTGAAGTGGAGTTACAATGGTTGAGAGTAGCCATATGAGTGCAGAAAATTGAACCCAAGTCCTCTGTAAGAACAATAAATGCTCTTAACCACAGTGAGCCTTTGTACTAGCCCACTGGGGATTTTCTTTTGGGGATGGGGAGAATGAATAACTTTAGATTTTTTTTTAAAATTAATTAGTTATTAAATGGGTGAGCCAGGCCTTCACTAGGTAGACCAGGATGGCCTCAAACTCAGAGTGATCCATCTGCCTCAGCTTCTAGTGTGCCGGGATTAAAGTCCACCACCATGCCAAGGAGGATGAAGATTTTGGAAACCATTCCATATGTAGTACAGACAAGTTACCTGTCTGTATTTCAGTTTTTCTCGTATGTGTAAGACCAGAAGCTGCTGTACAGAGAAAATTTAGGCTCCATGCCTTGTAGCATTTAGAATGAAAGAGACAGAAATAGAGAAAGAACATTTAAAAATCCATTGCAACCCTAAAATTTAAATTCCGTGTTCATGGTAGGGATGACCAGAATGTTGGAGGCAGAGGTCATGGAAGTGTTTACTTAATTGTTTCCTCTTACTTTCAGCATTTTGATGGGAATCCATCGGATCGATTTCCAGAAGATGACCTGTGGTTCCTATCGCATCCGACGCCTGTCCACTCCTTCGTTTGTGGCACAGTCGGAGAATTCTGTCTTCAGCACCACGTGGCTGTGGTACTGGAAGAATGAGTTTAACAGATATGTACAGTATGGGGATGAGGTGAGTACCGCTTTCCCCTTAGGGGTGTCTTAGGGTTTCTGTTGCTCTTACAAAGGAAAGCATTTTATTGGGGCGGCTGGTACTTCAGAGGTTCAGTCTTTGGCATGCAGGCAGATGTGGTGCTGGAGATGTGGAGCTGGGAGTTCTACTTCTGGATTGGCAGACAACAGAAGGAGTCTGTGTCTACACTGGACATAGTTTGAGCATAGGAGACCTCAGAGCCCACCCCCACAGTGACACACTTCCTCCAATCATGCCTTTTCCTATGAGATTATGAGGGACAATTACATTAAAACTCTCACAAGGGGAAAAAAAGCCAAAACACTATTAACAGAATGTTTGAAGGCAACAATCCTATCCTTGGAGAGTGGGTATAAAAGATAAACCTGTGTGTGTGTGTGTGTGTGTGTGTGTGTGTGTGTGTGTGTGTTTTGTAGTGGGGGAAGGGCAGAAGTGGGGGTAGTACAAGGGTGAGGTGTTCCAGTTCCAGTATACTCTAGGAGAACTGAGAATCACAAATATATTATTTTTCAGGACACTTGGGAGACACAATTCAATCATGTCCCTCTTCCTCGTTCTTTTTTTTTTATTTAATTTATTTATATTTTATGTATGAGTGCTTTACATGCACATGTTTATGCCAGAAGAGGGCGTCAGATCCCATTATAGATGGTTGTGGTTGCTAGGAACTGAACTCAGACCTCGAGAAAGAGCAGCCATTCTAAAGGAAGGCCTGGACCTGTGAACCAGCTTTCTGTGTGTCAGTTCCAAATGGCACTGCCAGCATAGACAACGGCACGGCAATGGGGAGTTAGGAGAGCGATGGAGGTGTCTCAGCGATTGTCGCACCAGCAGAATGTCTTTCTTTTTTTAATTGATTTTATTGAGCTCTGCATTTTTCTCTGATCCCCTCCCTTCCTCTCTCCCACTTCAACCCTCTCCCATGGGCCCCATCCTCCCAATTTACTCAGGAGATCTTGTCTTTTTCTACTTCCCATGTAGATTAGATCCATGTAAGTCTCTTTTAGGGTCCTCATTGTTGTCTAGGTTCTCTGAGATTGTGAATTGTAGGCTGGTTTTACTTTGCTTTATGCCTAGAAGTCACTCATGAGTGGGTACATATGACATTTGTCTTTCTGGGTCTGGGTTCCCTCACTCAATATGATTTCTAGATGTCCCCCATGGAGAGGCCAAGTGCCCTGCGGGCAGGGACCCTCTACAAGCAGGGTCCTTCCATGTTAGTTCATCAGCACAAAGGGTGTTTGCAGCGCACACATTTTATCAACGAATCCCTCAGGGAACCTAAATGAGCAGAGAGGAGCAGGCAGAGTTGCCTTTTTGAAATGGGCTAAACACCAGACTTGATGGCTTGGCCCCCTTGTCAGTCTGCTCTTTCCCATGGCCTGTGGAACATCCTTGCAGCAGAGTTCTCGTCACACCGGATGCAGATTCTTTTTATGTTCAAGCCAAGTATGACATCAAAGTACAGTCACATAGAAAAGCATGTAGGCCCTTGGCCCTAGGACATTTTCCTAGGGTGCTTCTATTCCAGGGCCCTCTCCTGATGGACATTTGGTGGGCCTTTCCTTAGGGAAGGGGGGAAGGAAGGAAAGGCTTAGTAGAAAACTGAATATCACTAAAGGAATCACGAGCCCCTCCCCATGTAGGCGGCCGGCAGGATTCCTGTCTTCAGCCCCTATGCTCTAGTTCTCAAGGAAATGTTTTGCAAATGTTTTATTGGGAGCCTCTGAATGTAGGGTTTTACATCCTGTCTGCTCCTGTCAGAACCAATGCAGCAGAGTGGTGGCTTAGTTTTTTTGTTTGTTCGTTTGTTTTGTTGGGATTTATTTATTATGTATAAAGTGTTTGCCTGCAAGTCAGGAGACAGCACCAGATCTCATTACAGAGAGTTGTGAGCCACCATGTGGTTGCTGGGAATTGAACTCAGGACCTTTGGAAGAACAGCCAGTGCTCCTAACCTGAGCCATCTCTCCAGCCCCAGTGGCTTAGTTTTGACACGTCTTTCCCCTTCCATCCTAAGGCTTGCATTCTTCCTAGATGCCTCAAAATCAGAGATGAGGTCTACGTTTCTTGAGTATCCAAGCCCCTTTAAACACAGCCTCAGTGGGTAGCAAGCCCAATGCATCTTCCCTGTAATATGCTGACTGGGGGGCCTGCTTGCGCTACTTACCGGGGTTGAAGGCAGAAGAGAGAGCTAGATCATTTATATCTGAGCAGCAGCATCCCTGTTGGCCCTAGAACTTACAGGAGTATTGGAAAGGCTTCTTTACTACAACTGCAAACTGCCCGTGATGTCCTGACTCCCACAAAACTATCAATTCTGTCCCAGCGGCTGCAGATGAGTTTATATTGTGTAGGTGGTGTAAAAGGAAAATCACAGTCATGGTCTTCAGGCAGCCCCCGAAAGTGACCTCCGTTTCTACAGACAGTGCTCTCTCCAGCTCTGTAACTTGGTGTCCAGTGGGAAGTTCTTCAACTCAGGAGAGAGCATACCTCCCTAATCCTATCGCTAAAAGAAAGCAAACTGTCTAAGACAGAACAGTAGAGATTTCCATCCCGAAAACCTACCCTCACATCTTTCCCTATGTGTTCTTAACTTTTTCTGCATATAGAGCCATGGCTATCCCCGCTCCAACATCAGCTCTCCGTACCTCGAGTCTTTGTTCCGGTCCTGTCCCAGAGGAGTTGTTGTGCCATTCCAGGCCGGTTCACAAAGCTACGAATTGAGCTTCCAAGGTGAGTTTCTGTCTTTAGTAGTGTGGAATGTCTGAAATCTGGCCCTGAGCACACGAGTAGACAGTCCACGCTCATTGCTGCACCCAGGGTCAAGGGTCTTTTTTAGCATGGGAACCGTCTGTGTCTGAGGGTGGCAGCTGGAGGCCGTCAGATCCATGTTCTGACTCTTTCTGCCACCTCTTTCTTGGGAGATCAAAAGTTTAGACAAGAAGTCTCTAGGGGTTCTTCAGCTCTGTCAGAGTATATTTCTGATTTTGGGGGTGTGCTTTGTGAGTATTTAGTTGCCGCCGCCAACAATGGAGTCTTGATCTTCTGGGCACCCTTAGACCTCAGAAACTTGCTCTTGGCTTCATGTCCTGCCTGTTGATCAGTGATTTTATTTCTCACCTCCACTCAGGCACGTGACCTGCCACCACATTTTGTTTTCTGCCACGATGTTCATGTGAACCTCTGTAGGAAGGTCCTGGTAGCTTCCACCAGTCTGCCTGCTGCATTGAGGGAGGAAGAAATGAGGGCTGGAACCAGCTTCCCTTTGAAAGTGCTTTGGTGCGCTGTGCCTTAGGAACAGGCCTGCTTGTGGTCAGAGCCAGGTGTGCAGACCTGATTCTTTCTCAAGTCCTTGGCTCTCCCGGGTGGTCTCTGAGATCTGAGTCCCTTTATTGTGCCATAAACAGTGTAACTTTAGGGATTATATTATGACAACGATTTTGGAAATCAGCCTGGCATTCACACCAAGACAGGCTGCAAAGTGCCCACTGTTTCATTTCCTCTATATCTACTAGAAAAAAATCAGTGAATAAATAAATTAAGAGGAGTAGATGTTGGTGGGATGTTAGGGCAATGGTCCTAGTTTGCATGTCTGTTATGATAAACACCATGACCAAAAGCAACCTGGGGACTGAAGGATTTAGGGAAGCCAGGGCAGGAGCGTGAAGCAAAACCATGGAGGAGTGCTGCTTACTGCCTTGCTTCCCCTGGCTTGCTCAACTGTTTTTCATACAGAATAGTTCCCTCTGCCTGAGCATGGCACTCCCCACAGTGAGCTAGGCCCTCTCACGAAATTAGCAATTTAAATAATACCTCCCAGGGATGCAGAGGCAGCTGTGAGTTTGCTGCCAGTCTGATCTACAGAGCAAGTTCCAGGACAGCCAGGAATACACAGAGAAACCCTGTCTCAAATAAACAAAACAAAACAGAAAATGCCCCTGACGTGTCCACAGGCTAATCTGATGGAGGCAGTTCTCTCTTCCCAGACGTGTCCACAGGTTAATCTGATGGAGGCAGTTCTCTCTTCCCAGACGTGTCCACAGGTTAATCTGATGGAGGCAGTTCTCTTTTCCCAGGTGTGTCTAGGTTTGTATCAAGTTGCCAGAACATACCATAGTTATTGTTAGAAATTACGATTATAAAAACTAGGTATTAAAAACTAGTAGGGGCCAGGCAGTGGTGGTACAGGCCTTCAATCCCAGCATTTGGGAGGCAGAGGCAGGAGGATCTCTGAGTTCAAGGCCAGCCTGGTCTACAGAGTGAGCTCTAGCCAAGGCTGTACAAATCCTGTCTCCTCCTTCTTCTATCTAAAACCACTCTCTTTTTTGTGCGGTTAGATTCAGCCGTGAATGTTAGCTGTACAAATGACTTCTGGGCAGGGGAGGAGGAAGAGTCATTTCCTAGGATTGAGTCTTGACTTTTATTTTTTTTTCTGTCCACAGGGATGATTCAGACAAACATCTCTTCCAAGACTCAACGGTGCGTCGTCCGAAGGCCAGTGTTTGTGTCGTGGAAGGACGTGGAGCAGAGGAGAAGAGGTCCAGAGTAAGTGTTTAGCTGGCAGGTGTCTGAGATGCTTGGGCCCTGACCTCGCCACGCCGCCACAGCGCACCAAGCTTCTGGAGTCTGTGTTCTCGGGAAGTTCCCGCTTCTGTTTCTTTGTTAAGCAACATGCCATGAGTGAGAGGCTCAGATCAGGGGTCAGGGGAGCGGGCCCTCTATTAAGCTTTTAATTTTTTTAGATTTTGGGTGTAGGGTGGGAGGAATGTGATACCAGGAAACCAGCATTTGCCCCTATCTCACAGGGGCTTCTAGGCAGGTCTCATTCACACACTGTTCTTCGGCTGTGACTGGACCAGTGGGTGTGCCTACCAACTACTGAATACACTGGGTTTCTGTTTTGCTGTGGGTTTTCTGTCTTTTGTCATGCTATATGGTTTATAGAGGCTGGGAGGCTGAGAAAAGGGCTTGAGCTGGCAGCCTGGTTAGGACTTTAGAGAAAGATAAAGTTGGCTAAAGGCACTGGTTTGAGTTTTAATTGACTTGTAATCATTGTATACCAATGGGGTATTTCAAGGCGGGTTTTGTGTGGGGAATTCATTGTAACTTGCCTGTCTGCTGTGAAACTCAGTAAAATCTCATTGTTCACGAACCTTGCGGTTGAATTTTTTCTCCCCCAGGGGATGTGTGATTATATGAATCCGGTTTCAAGGCAGGTGTAAAATCAAGCTGTTTGTAGATTCTTGTGGTTGTAAGGGTCCGAGGCAGGTTACCATGAGGCAATGTGGGAAATAACATCTAGGTAGAGCTCAAACATGGGCTGGGCAGAGAGTGGTACCCAGAAGGCATGTGGGTGCAGTGCGGCAGGATGGAGCAGCCTGGTGCAGGTCCTCCACTGCGACCAGGTCTGAGACCCAACTCTGGTCCCCTAAGTTCACACCCTTAGCCTCTGGGCTTTGGGCACACAGCCCTCACCAGCCACACTGGGCTCACTGCTGAGGTACACCTTCAGACCCTGGGAATAGTGGCTGTTGGGGCGGATGCTCAGTAATGACAGCTTCTGGTTTGTTCGTCTTTGTGTTTAGACTCTGTGACAACACATCGTTGACCCATCGCCTGTCACAGCCAAACAAGGTCTGCATGTCGCATTTAACTGGTTCATTCCTTTAATTCCTCAGGAGCAGAGGCAGGTGAATCTCTGAGTTCAAGGCCAGCCTGGTCTACAGGGCAAGTTCCAGGACAGGTTCCAAAGCTACACAGAGAAAACCTATCTTGAAAAACAAACAAACAAAAACCAAAAAGAAAATAACAAAAAAAGTTTCTTTGTGCGCACACATGTGCATATGACTGGGTGGTCTCACCCATTCTGGTGCGGGTAGAAGACAGAAATTGACAGTGGTATGTTTTCCTCAATCACTTTATCTTGAGACGCAGCTACTCACTGAAACTGGAACATGCACATCAGCTAGACTGTCTGGAGAGTCTTTGGAATACGCTTGTCTCCGCTTTCCTACCTGTGCTGTGTTATAGAGGGGTGCTGCCACGTACAGGTTTTTATGTGGGTGCAGGGTATCCAAACTCAGGTCTTCACTTTCCCCAGTGAGCCATCTCCGCAGTCCACCCCCACGTTCTCTCCTCTCCTCTCTCTCTCTCTCTCACTCTCTGTTATGTTTTTGAGATATGTAGTCTTCGTTGGCCTTGATTTCAGTATGTAGACCAGGCTGGCTCCAAACGCACAGAGTTCTGCATGATCCTGCCTCCTGAGTGTTAGGATTAAAGGTATGCACCTCCAATCCGATTTCCCTCTGTTTTTAAAATGTCGTTTAAAAAAATCAAAATGGGTGGTGTTATCTATGAGAATATACTCCATTGTATTCTAATGGGGTCATTTTATGGGTGGCTTCTGTAGGCGGGTTATGAGATTTTGAGAATTTGGGGTTTTGGTTTTTTGCTTCTTTTTTTGTTTTTCGAGATAGGGCTTCTCTGTGTAGCCTTGGCTGTCTTGGAACTCACTTTGTAGAACCAGGCTGGCCTCTAACTCACAGAGATCTGCTTGCCTCTGCCGTCTGAATGCTGGGATCAAAGGCAAGCACTACCACACCTGGTGATTTTGAGGACTAGTGGGGTCCAGACTGGGTTTTTGGTCAAGAATGCAGCACAAGGGCTGTTCTTATTAAGATATGTAGCATCTGACTGCCCTGTTTGCTGACATGAGGGGATGTCTATAGTTATTCTGATGTTTCTGCTGATTACTATTCTGGTTATTCTGGTCTTCCCACCCTGAAATTCAGTTTCTATAGTAAGGAAGATCTTTTCCACTATGTCTTTCTATATCTGTCTATCACATGGTAAGGAAGTTACAATGCACATATGTGTGTGCAAGGAAGTTCACACACACACACACACACACACACACACACACACACACACACGAGGTCGGGACAAACCCTGAAGAGTCGGTTCTCTCCTAACTTGGAAGGATCCAGCAATCAGACTCAGATTATCAGTCCTGCATGCAAGCAACCGTACCAACAGAGCCATCTCGCCTGCCCAGTGCCTTTACAGTATAAAACGGCAGGAAAGAGCATTTATATTACTTAATTACACCCTTTTTAAAAGCTGTGGTTACTGGGGTGGTCCAGAGGAAATACAGAAGTCAACAACGTGTTTCCTGGCTTTCTGGCTGCCTGTTGCTGGTGGAAAGAAAGGGAACCTAGTGATTCTTCCTTCTGTCTTTCTAGCTGGCAGTCGGTGATGCCCCAGGCAGAGGCTCTGACCCTGGATGATCCTCCCCAGAGGAACATTAGCGAGTTTCCTTCCAACAGATACGAGGTACTTGGTTCTCCTTGTTTCAAAGGTGGGGAAATGCTTTGCATTATGAAGTCTATGGGTTTGTTATCGGAACAAAGGAGTTGCTTCTGCATCAGATGTCTATATGATTGTGACACTTTCCCAGGAAACGGCTGCTCTCCAGGGCATCTCACTGTGTTCAGGATGCAGTGTTACTTATAGGTTCTTATAGTAACCCCGTAAGATCACAGCAACACCGATAAGAAAGCAGGAACTCGGAGGGTAACAGTTGCCCGACTCCGTGTGCCTCGCTCTGACACTGGGACAAGTCTGTGTGGCCTTCACAACCAGCTCCAGTCTGGTTGTGCTCCATCGGTTCCACTGATCGCTCTGTCACTGGTTGGTTTTGGAGTTTGGGCTTCCTGAGTCTCTGAACTAAGTCACACCCCATATAGATTGGCCTGAATGGGCAGATTTATGGATACTTTAAGCCAGCCTCTCTCCCCTGAGAACAGCAGGGGTGGTCATGGCACAGGCGGCCACGTGTGCGGATATAGCATGCTTTCAGAATTTCCTAACATTTAAATGTCTTAATTTGCCGGGCGTTGGTGGCGCACGCCTTTAATCCCAGCACTCGGGAGGCAGAGGCAGGCGGATCTCTGTGAGTTCGAGACCAGCCTGGTCTACAGAGCTAGTTCCAGGACAGGCTCCAAAGCCACAGAGAAACCCTGTCTCGAAAAACCAAAATAAATAAATAAATAAATAAATAAATGTCTTAATTTTTCCCACAGTTGTTAGAGCTCAAGAGCTACGACGGGGAGTATGTCAAAATAAGTGAACTTTTTAAAGCGTCCATGAAATATCACAAGATTGCAAAGATAAAGAGGATATGGAATGAACAACTCTTCCAGGCTTTTGAAAGGTGACATAATCAGACCTCGTTTGGGGCCATGTTATTACGGTAGACTGAGAGGGGAGTATTCACTTTATTTTATTTTTGCATTTATTTATTTGGGGCGAGGGTGTGGGGCATGCATGCATGTCATAAGACCACTTGCTGGAGACATATTCTCCCTCCCCTCCCCCGTGGGTCCAGGAGATTGAACTCAGGCTCCCGTGCTCAGTGGTGGCCCTTTTGCCGGCCCAGTGTTCCTGGTACTGAATCTCACATTTCTCCATATTAGGAAAGCATTAATGATGGGGAATAAAACTGAGATGCGCCTGTTTCACGCAACAAGTCGTGTTCATGTGGATTATATCTGTCAGAATAACTTCGAGAGGATTCTATATGGAAATTTGGAGAACAGATATGGAAAAGGTTTGTGCTGGAGTAGAGCGAGCCAGGGTTCCAGCTCCTCACATGCTTTTGTTGAGATGTTCATGGCATTGCTCCGTAAACCTACATGTCTGGACTTCAGTGGCCTTGGGAGAAAAATGAGCTGAGTTACCTTCAACCTGTGCTGGGCTGTGGGTGTTAGGCCTCGGCCCTAGGTCTTCTGTCTTGTTTTTTTCTCTGGGAACAACACAAGGGCTTCACACCTGTAAACTGCTCCGTCTACTGGCTATGTTGTCTGCCATTAGGACTTAGAGGAGATGCTTCTTCTTGCCCAGTGTCTGTGTCCGCAGAGCCTTTCAAACTAGCTTTGTATTGACACCGCTGGATTCCAGTTAGGAATGGGGAAAGGAGTCTGGCAGTGGTGGCGTGTGTCTTTATTTCCAGCACTCGGGAGACAGTGGCAGGAGAATCTCTTTTAGTTTGACTGTTAGTTAGCCTGGTCTGCAGAGTGAATTCCAGGACAGTCAAGATCCTGTCTTGAAAAACATAAAACAAAAGGCCCTGGAGAAGAGGCCCCTCCTTATCCCTGCCATGCTGGGTTTTCAGGGGTTTGCCCACACCCAGAATCTTACTCCTCTTTTTGTTGATGAATCATTCACTCTTGGTGGATGTTTAAGGAATACATATTGATATAGTCAGGCCTGGCAGTACAGCGTAGTATAGGAATTTGTAGTGGCAACCAGACCTATCACAGTGAAAAATGATACAAAATAGCCGGATATGGTTGTATATGCTTTTAATCTCAGCACTTGGGAAGCAGGGCCAGGAAGACCTCTGAGTTTGAGTTTAGCCTGGTTCACAATAGAGAGTCCCAGGACAATACAGTGAGACCTTATATATAAAGTAAAGCAATTATAAAATACAGAAGGCATGCCACCCCTTCTGGGAGTCAGAGGCTCGCTGGACCACTGAAACAGAGCTGTAGTTAGCGATCTAGTAAAAAAAGTGAGGGGCTGGGAACAGCTAGGAAGGAGCATAGCGGTGACAGCCAGAGTCAGTGGCCACAGACATGTGGTGGCTGGTAGATTTGTTTGTATGTTTGGTCACTTTCCAGTTCCTGACTAACTTTGTAAGTCTACAGAGGGATCCTGGATGGACCAATTCTCTTGAAAAAGAGTTTGTTCTTTTGCATCCTCCCCTCCCCCAGACTGGGTTTCTCTGTGTAGCTTTGGAGCCTGCCCTGGAATTTGCTCTTTAGACCAGGCTGGCTTCGAACTCACAGAAATCCGCCTGCCTCTGCCTCCCGAGTGCTGGGATTAAAGACGTGCACCGCCCGGCTGAAAATCAGTTTGTTTTGATTAAACCTTGGCAAGAGAACACGAATGACAGACACAGTGGGAGGTGGGGGAAGACGCAGCAGAGCAATTCAGGCTCAGTTAAAGGACCTGAGTTTGAGCCTCACAACTCAAGTGAAAAAGAAAATCAAGGCATAATGACATAGGCTTGTGATCTCAGTGCTGGGGAGGCAGCCAGGTAGAGCGCTGGCTCTCACTGACTGGACAATGAGAGATCCATACAGTCGATAGAAGTGGATGGCACCCGAACACCTGCACCCCAGGTTCTCCTCTGACTTACACACAAGTGCATGCAGACACACACACAGTCTGGGCTATCTCAAAGCTCCACAACAGGGCTGGGGATGTCGCTCAGTTACTAGGCTGCTTCTCCGGTGAGTTTGCATCATTACACCCTGCAGCCTCCAGAGGGCGCCTTCCCTCAAGGCATTTTTCCTCTTGTCCCTTGGGTCCAGTTTATGACAGCAACAGCCCTACTTTTGACATCAGTTTTCTGCCTCTGTGGCTTATCTTGTAACTGTGACTAAAGGTGTGTGTGTGTGTGTGTATGTGTGCACGCGCGTGTGCGTGTGTGTATGTGTGCACGTGCGTGTGTGTATGTGTGCCCGCGCGTGTGCGTGTGTGCATACTAGTGCATATCTGTTTTTTCCTTTTCCACCCAGTCTGAGTTTCTAGCCCTTGGAATGACATCACCTACATTCAAGATGTGTTATTAAACCTCTCTGGAAATGTTGTCGTGTGTGGAGGTATGCCTCCCACCGGACTGGGAATGCAGTTAAATTGATGATGAGGATTAACTCTGTCAGTAAGGCGTTACTGGCAGGTGTTTCACCCGTAGCAGCATCTGATTCTCTGTGTCCTGTTTTAACCTGTACTCATTGATAACAATTCTCTACCTTTCTCTGATTATTTCCAGGAAATTACTTTACAAAAGAAGCCATCTCTTCCCACAAAAATTGTCCATACGATGCCAGAAACAGTGTTATGTTTGTGGCCCGAGTCCTGGTTGGAGATTTCACTGAAGGAAACATGATGTACAATAGCCCTCCTGCGCACTACGACAGCTGTGTGGATAGCAGGTTGAATCCCTCCGTCTTTGTCATCTTCCAGAAAGAGCAGATTTACCCAGAGTATGTGATTGAGTACTCGGAGCCAGAAAGAGACAAAACCTGCATAATTAGTTAGAAATGATGAACACTGCGCCGAAACCATTCTGCCGACTTCTAGGACCAAATCATCCCCAGACAGTAGTTAGACTTTCGCGTATCCTTGCTACATTAGCGGATGTCTTAAATCAGCCATTCTCAAACTTTTCTCTCTCCAAATTCAGTCCCGGGCTGTACCCCCACAAGAGCGAGGCAGTGTGCTCTTTGCTAAAACTCTCCGTGATGCCAGCGTTTTGAAAAGATTGCATTGTCTTAAAGTTACCAGTCAGGCTGACTTCCGAATTGTCTGGAATCGACTTTGCTCTTTCTCATCCCCTCTTTGTTTTTGCTGTTTAGGTAGTGCTGCTGTAGTTTCACTGAAGTTGAATTGGATATTAGTTTGGGAACTTTGAGAGTAATGTAATCCTGTTGATTGAAATAGTGACATAAGACATTGCAGCTATGGGCAGAAAACCTGCTGAGGGAAGAGGCTCAAAGTTCAATTTTAATGCGATTGAGACGCAGTAGCGATACTATTACGCGACGAAACAGATCTGAGGGGCGCATCGCTTTAGCTCTGCGTCCACTGGAAAGACAGGCTCCGTGGAGCTGACGCTGACAGACATGATAAGAGCCCCCACGTATAGTTCAGAAGCAGCTCACTGGAGTCAGCTGGCCAGTTAAGCTCTTGGTGTCCATGTCCTAATTCATGTGATCACAGGGGACACCTCTTGCAGGTCAGACTTTCGTGGGATCATCTGGATTTTAGTAGGATGAAGTTGCAGTACTGGTAAACCCCAGCGCTGTTGGCATTTGCAGGCAGAGATAGAAAAGGGTCACCAGAAACCGGGAAAGGCCGTCCCTGTTTGAAGGTCGGGCTCGCAAGTCTGGTTTGCTGGTGAGCGCCAAAGCAGTACGCAGAAAACGATGTCCCCACATAGCCCTTCCCGTGCTAGCCGCATCTGTTTGGAAAACATAGCAGGTGTGTTTTCTAACAGCATTTAGGATGCCTGGACCAATATTTTCTTCCTTGCAACGTACGGATCAGGTCTTTCTTCCAATCCCCCTTCCTCAACATTCCATAACCAGTCCCTGCAGTTTCCTGTCCTGTGTTGTTAGTGGGCATTTGGTCAGATGCTTCACTTTGATGGTCTCCACCAGTAACGCTGGATAGAGCATTTTTTAGAGCAGGGCTCTTTTTCTGGGGTGCATGCCACAATTTTTTTAAACTGATTTTTCTTTTTTTTTATCTTTTTTTCTTTTTCTCATGTGGAATCTTGTACTTTGGAATACTCCTCCTCTGACCTAGACCATGCTATAGACATGTAGTGTATCCAACTTCCCAGTAAGCTAACTTCTAGTTCGATATTTACCAGTCGTCTCTGGTTCAACAGGTCCAAAATGGAGCCTTCTATTCACCTCTTTCAAAGGGGTCAATTCCTGGTGTGTTTGTCCCCCCACCCCACCCCAAGCCTTAAATAGTGTCTCTTGCTCCCTGCTATGCAGCCCAGGCTCCTAGCTTCCCCTAACCTCTTACACATCATAGTTATTTCCAAGTCCATTTTCACCTTCCTCACAAGCCCTTCTGTAGTCCTTGCGGTTCTTAATAGGGTTTCTCTCTAGCCTTGGAGCCTGCCCTGGAACTCACTCTGTAGACCAGGCTGGTCTCGAACTCACAGAGATCCGCCTGCCTTCCAAGTGCTGGGACTAAAGCCTGCGCCACCACTGCCCTGCTTCCTTGTGGTTCTTGATGACTTTTGCACCTGATTCTATTCAGTGGTTCTCAGTGAACTGTTCCCTCCCCTCCCCGCAACTAGGCAATATCTGTTTCAATCTCCAAAGTGCGATTCAGACATAGCTTCTCCACATAATTCCATTGATTAAAAAAAAATCAAAGTTGATATCATTTAAGAGGGAAATAAAAGGTCATAACTCCGGCACGACTTTACAGTACTAAGACATAATGGAGTCGTCAGATGCCTACATTACCATGAATCAGTGTGAGCTTAGAAGAAAGGAATTGGAGGGACGTGTATGGACATTAGAGTAAAAACAATGATGCAAGTCATTTGCAGATGTCAGCTCTATCTGTTCATGGTAAAAACGAAATACCTTCATTGAAATAAAGATACTGCACAAAAGAACAGACAGAGAATGAAGAGATATATTCTTACAGACGAGCTGTAGGTCATACATGAATGTCTGATGAGACATTCAAAACTCGAATAGGGCGCAGAATAATTTCTTATTGTGAGAAACCGCCTAATGTATCGAAAGATAGGTAGTTGGCTCTCACTCGCTAGCTAAATCCCAGTAGCGCCCTCCCCCGCCCGCAGTCATGACAACCATAGACCCTACTAGACCCGTTCATTCTTTTAAAGGTAGATCTTTTTATAACATCTTTTGCCATCTTGAGGTGATTTATAGGTAATACAATCTACACATGAGCTTATTAAAACTTAATTTAGCGCCCTACCTGTGTTATAATGGAGATGAAAGATGGGAACTTTGTAATGAACATACACTTCAGTGTGTGTGTAAGGGCTCAGGCATGACTATGCTCTACGCTTTGAAAGAGCCGTTAACTCTGTGAATAGGTTTGGACTTAGGAGTCCAGCAGGGGCAACTTCTTGAAATGGGTGAAGTACAGGAAAGTGAGAAATACAAGGGATGGGTGACACAAACCAGACAGCATTAGGGCACGGCGAAGCAGACCACGCCCCTTATCTGTCTATGGTGAAGGGAAGGGCGGGATCACTTTAATTTAATGATAATAAGACAGGACAGATTACAGTTTGTCTCAGAGAAGACAAGTGTTGTATCTCTCAGACAAACTGTAGGTCCTGCATAAATGTCCGATAGGACATTAGACAGTCGCAAAGGTGCAGAAGAGTTTGTGTGTGGGACTGACCTAAACCACACACAGCAGGACGCTTGTTCTGCCTCAAGCTGCGTCTACTCAGTGCCGGTAATAACCTTCAGATAGAAAGCTGACCGCCATCACTCTCGGCACGCTACCGGGAGAACCACTGGACCTTGTTAGTGGCCGCGCTCTTGGTTGGATTCATTCAGCCGTTACTTCTATTTTGTTTTACTATAGCGTAAGCCAGATCCTTGCTTCAAAAACCCCCAGTTTTTAAACCGCTTTGTGCCTTTGTTACGTCTATCTGTATCAGCCTTGTTTGCGCAATAAAAAGAAAAAAAATTAACTTGCTCCATTTGCCTTCATTTGCTCTGTTTACAGCTTTCTCAAAACAAAACAAGAAAACCCCAACTATAGACACCAGGCTGGAAGGCAAGGTAGACACGGTGACAGATAGCTAAGGCCACAGGTGATTGGCACAGCTGTGGACTACAAACTTAGGGACAGAGAGGGAAGTGTTGGCAACCACAAACGTTCTTTTCCTTCTCTGACCCCAAGGGTGGTAGCAGGGCTAGGTTGAGACACGAAGGTGCATATATTTATAAGCAGAATTATCCTGTTGGCCAATCCTCAAAAGATGGTCTTGAAACCTGGACATGGTAGCAAATACCTTAGGAGAGGCAGGTGAATCTGTGAGTTCTAGGCCATCCTGATTGGTCTACATTATTGTGAGTTCTAGGCCAGCCAGGGCTATATAGTATGACCCCGTCTTCGAAACAAAGCCATTGCCTGGTGCCTGGGGGGTGAAGAGTCTACACTACACAAATCATTGGGTTCAATTCGCCAGCACTACATAAGATACTTGCCTGTAATCTCAGCACTTGGGAGATGAAGTTCAAGGCCAGTCCGGAAGAAATGAGTCTCTTTCTACTTGTTATTTTGGTTTTAGAGGTGGGTGTCATTTTCTACTCATCCTTTTTCCTATTACAACCTGTAATAGAAGACGAGAGCAGTGTGCAGGGTAGAGCACATTTGACAAAGGGAGGCCAGAGCTTCCATGAATCGGGCTTCAGTGTCAGCAAGGCATAAAACCCTCATCGTTGTCAAAGCATCCATACCTGAACACAAAAATGCTATCAAACCAAACATGAGCAGATAGTCGAGGGGCTTGATTAAAAAAATATGCTCTAGCGTGTGCATAGGCACCAGAGGGCATTCTGGGTAAGTTGGTGCTCTCCTTCCACCACGCAGATCTCCAGTCTTGTCAGCGAGTGCCTTTGCCCTCTGAGGCATCTTTCTCTTTCAGTTGTATCTTAGGTGGCTTCTCTCAGGCAAACAGATAAGGATTGACTGAGAGCAGTTCTTTAATAGGAAATCCCCCCAAACACTCTCTCAGTTCATGTCTTAGGCTGGGCTCCCTGGTAAGATTGCATGTGCCAGGCAAGGAGAGAGGGGACTCAGGGAAAGGAAGGTACTATAGGGCTGTCGTCCTGGGCTCCATTTCCATTAAGGAACATTAGAAGGAGACCACTGAATATCTATTTCCAAGTCATTCCATAGAAGAATAATAAGCTACGGTATTTGTCCACTGTTAGAGAGGAAAATCCTCTTAGGTTTAGTGAGTGCGTATGTATATCGCTACCAATTTGACGATAGGAAAAGTTTATATGTATATGAATGCACAAAAAAAAAATAACTCCTTCAGCAGTATAGATAAAGACATATAAATGTAACAGAACAGACAGGAGAGCTGGGCATGCTGACACACGCCTGTTATTCTAGGGTTTGGGAGGCAGAGAGGCTGCATGAGACAAATAAGACGAGTAAAATGGCTCCCGGGAGAACAGATGAATTTTAGGGGAACAAAATGGAGATTAAAAAAAAAATTGTGGGGCCTGGTGGTGGTATGCCTTTAATTCCAGCACTTGGGAGGCAGAGGCAGGTGAGTTCAAGGCCAGCCTGGTCTATAGAGCGAGTTCCAGGATAGGTTCCAAAGCTACATAGAGAAACCTTGTCTCGACAAACAAACAAAAAACAAGTTTGTTATTTTGTTTGTGCAGCTATGTCCTCTCCTCATTGTCTTTTTTTTTTTTGAAACTTTTATTTGTACTTCATGTATATGGGTGTTTTGCCTGCACACCACATGCATACCTGCTGACCTCAGAGGTCAGAAGATGTTCTGAGCTACCATGTGGGTGCTCAGAATCAAACCAGGTTCCCTGCGATCTTAATTCACTAAGCCATCTTCCCAACTCTTCCATTTTGTTTTTGAAGACAGTCTCACACTATAGCCCAGGACAGCCTTGAACTAAACATTCCTGTGGCCTCAGCCTTCCAAGGGTTAGGGCTACAGTTGTGAGCCACCCTTCCAGGGGTCTCTTTTTTTTTTTCTTTATTTCTATAAACAACCCCAGAGAGGAGGGTCATGCAGTGTCCCTTTTAGAAGCTCGTTTTCTGTGAGACGACTGCATCTGTTCATTTTGCATGTCTTTACAATAATCCCTCCGACCAGTCCTCTGGGTGAGAGCAGTAGGCATCAGCGCATTGGGTATTCCAGCCTTTCTCCATCACGGCCGGCAAGCTCACTCCCTCTGACAAAGAAGACCTAAGGTAAAGAGTTCAATACAGTTGCTAGTACCAAAGAGACGGCCACTGCTGCTTTCTGGTTTTTATCCTTCTCCACCCATTTCTTTAATACCGATCCTCACCCATCCACGTTTCTCTCAGTAGACACTTTTAGGAGCTGAGGATTGAGACCAAGAGCACAGAGAAGATCCCTGCTTGCGTGAACTTGAACTCTACCAACAAGTACAGAAAAGAGAGGAAAAAATGTCAGCTGTATGGCTCCATGCAGAGACAGGGAGCCTACTTTATACTGGTTGTCACAATGAGGGATAACCTGGAACTGCTTGGCACAGAGACACTCGGGCCGAGGGAATCTGTCTGAAAACTCTTCAGTGGCTTCTTTGCATTTACATGGAATCAATTCTTTCAGCCTGAGAGACGCCTGGGAAGGTTAGCGGCTCGGCTGACTGAGTCCCTCATCTGCCGTTTTCATCTTTGTATCCTGTCACCTCGTTAGCAGGCGATCAATAAATGTCCCATAGATGAATGGCACGTTGAGCAAAATGGATATTTAACACATGTACAGGTTTGGATTGGAGCCGCCCAACAGAAGTATAAAGCGAGTCAAATATGGAATTTTCTCATAGGTAGATTAGGAGGCGGCTCATCTGTTAAGGAGCTGTTGTCCCAGAGGACAGGGTTTGGTTCTGAGCATTCATGTCAGGTAGCTCACAACTCTTAACTCCAGGGGATCTGTCACCCTCTTCTGGCTTCCATGGGGCACATGGGGCGCGCACACGCATTTTAAAAATCTTTAAGAGGAAGAAAAGTAAACAGAATCATCCCAAGGCTTTGTTACTGAAATATATCACAAACAGTATTCACTTTTTTCAAATCATGTATTTTATTTATTTAATTTTACCTTAATGAATTTTTTTGTGGATTTCACATCACGTATTCCTACCCCACTCATCTCCCTGTCCCCTCACATCCACCTTCTGCTCTTGCAGCCTCCCCCAAAACAAAACCAAATTTAAAAGAAAAACCAAAGAAAACAAAGAACCAAAACAGAAACAAAAGCAACAGCAAAGAAAAGGAATAATCTTGTGGAAGCTGTAGTGTGGCCCAGTGATCACAGTGCACTTTTAATCCGTTCATCTTTACTTGTAAGTGTTCAGTGCTATGAGCCATTGGTCTGATTCAAGGCCTCTGGCTACCGCTACACCACCAGTAAGGGGCTCTCCCTGGGGCTCCTCTTGGATATCCTGTTGTTGACCTGTGTCATGGAGATCCTGCTGTTTTGGGTCTGTAAGTTCGTCCCCTTCACATGCTTCAACAGTTCATAGATTCGGTGGATGGGCCAGCTCAGCCCTGGTTCCGGACCTGGGTTGGTCAGCTCGCTGGCTTGCAATCACCCTTACCACCGGATGAGTTCTCCAGCACTGCCTAGGCTAGCTCATCCAATGCAGCCTAGAGCAAGGAGCGGGGCCAGTTCTGCTCTCCGCCCTCAGATTTGGGTCCTCCTCACTCATGTCTCCAGGGCCAGCTCTACTGTTTTGCCCTGGCAAGGTGTAGGGCCCTCTCTCCTGATCGTTGTAGGGGGCATTCAAGGGAGGCAGTGTGGAGTCAATGCTCCTGCTTTCATGCCCTCAGAGCTGGCTCACCTGCACCCCAACAATAGGGTCAGCTCTACTATGCTGCCCAGACAGGAAGCAGAGGCTGCTTTCTCAGGCTGCAGCCAGTGAGGGTCAGAGTTAGCTCTTCTACTCTTGTGACCCCAAAGCCAGCTCTCTCACCTGCCACAAGTGGTGATGTGTAAGGCGGAGGAGGGCACTTTTCCCTCATCCATGTCAGCACATGGCAGATGAGGGCAGGCAGGGTCAACTCTCCTGCTCCCATACCCTCAGGAATGGCTCACCTGTTCTTCGACCACAGGGTCAGCTCTAGTGTACTTCCCAGGCGAGGTACATTGGTGAGAGGTGGGGTCATCTTTCCTGAGTATGTTTGTGGGGGAGGTGAGCTCTCCCCTTAGGGGTAGGGTCACCTCTCCTGCTGCAATATCCAGGGAAGGGCAAGATGAACCATCAGGCCATTGAAGGGCTGGGCTAGCTCAGCACAGCATGGTTCCAATGGCCCCCCTGTGCTAATATGGGCCATGGACATCACCACAGACCCCAGCTGCAGCAGGACCACTGGCCCAGACATGGCCCGGGTGGCAGCACAGGCCCCTAAGATCGGCATGGCGCCGACAGTAGCATGGCCCCTGGAGCATCAATATGATCCCAGGTGGCTGGCCTGACCCCGGACATATGCAGAGCTCTTGGGGGCAACTGGAGCCATGGACACCACCCCAGCCCCAGCCCCCATAGGGCCACGGAACCAGACATGGCCCTAGACAGCAGCCTGTACCCGGAAGTCTCTGTGTGCCCCATGTGGCAGCACCCGCCATCCAGTTCAGCATGGCCCCGGGGGTGGCACAGTTCTGAGACACTGACACGGTCTGAGGTAGCCGACCAGACCCTGGTCCTCCACATGGCTCTTGGTGACAACAGAAACCCTGGATGTCAACTCAGACCTTGGCTATTGTAAGGCCACAGACCCATATACAGCCTTCTGCAGCAGTGCTGGGCTGGATGACACCATGCCTCCAAGTGAGTGTGGCAAGCCACTCAGATCAGGATGTCCCTGGTGACAGCATGGCCCTTGGACCCCCTCATAGTCACTGGCTGTGACCCAGAGACCCCAGGCAATGTGGGCCATGGACGTCAATACAGACCCTGG